TTTTTTTTTTTTTTTTCATGATTTCTTCTGTGGTGATAGGCTTTTCGCTGAACAGTACGGCGGCGCATCATAAGATGGTTATACAACATTTGCACATGACGTGTACATAGAGATCTGAGGCGTACTGCCTGCTAGTGGATTTGGTTATTCGCAAAGTCTTCAGAGATTGGCGAAAAAATATGAAAATCCGCTAACTGCGTGCAATGGCCTGCATGTTCATTGTAGTAGAAAACATGTCTGAAAAGGTTTTTGCAGATCTCTGGCTAAACTCGTTGTGATGTTTCGGAAATTTGCTGCGGGTTTTAATTTATTGATTTTACTAAATTAAAGAACTTTTGAAAGATATTTTGTTTGCGGTTTTTCTCAGATTTTTTCATGGAATGCTGGAAGAATACGCTGATTAGTGAGGTGGTGTAGCTCATGTGCATAACCGGTCATGATTGACCGTTCTATGATAACATTAGATTTTTTGTTCGACTGGAATTGAGTGTAAACATTCTCAAGATTCATTGCTGTGGAAGGGGTTCTTTGTTATTTTCTTTATGAAGCGCAGATTTACCTCCTAAACGATGAAATCGCCCGTAGAATTCTCTATCGGACAAAAAATATTCACTTTCAGAACACCGCCAGCACCGCGTTATTAATTGTACTACCTCGCCCATCTTTGTATTCTAGTTTTTCATGGAGTTATGACTGATAAGCCGCAGCATTCTATTTTAAGCCGTCTCTTACATGTAGATGTGTTTCAGAAAAAAGCGAGCTCAGTTATGGCTTGGACCTGCTGCTTATATCAATCACGATTGTTATCCAAATTGTAAATTCGTTCCAAATTGTCATACGGCTGTTGTACAGGTGTTGTTTCTGCGCTTTTATAAGTTTTTTGTTAACCATATCTGCCTTTTGTTCTGGCTAATTGCTGAGCTAATTTGGTCAAAATATCGCTGCAAAGTCCACTGCGTTTTGAGAACTGGAATCCATTAATAGTACCAGTTGTGGGCCCTTTAAGTACCATAAATTTCATTTTCTCTCTTTTCTCGTTTTCAGTGCTCCTCGTTAACAGCTTCTGAATGTGAGAAATGAAGGGGATTGGGCAGTAGCTCTAAAAATCTTCCTTATCGTCTTTTTTTTTTGAAGCGGTTTTCGAGTTCCTTAAACCACTGGGCATGTTTTCCTCTACCGAATGGCGAGAGCTTTCTAGATTTTATATCTCCGGTTCTGATGAGTTCGATGTTAACGCCATCGTTACCTAGAGCCTTTCCAGTTTTCTTTTGAAACTTTACGTAGATAATAAGTTCAGCAGTAGCTGGTTACCTGATCTGTTCGGTCCGTTATCCCGAGTCCATATGCGTTTTTCAGCGCTGCCATTTTGGGACAGTATTACAACGGGCTTCCCTTGTGCTGTTTGGGCTCTGGTTTTTTCCGATTAAAGAAACCATCTTTGGCGAATCTGTCTTGTTCGGTGCAGTCTGATATGCTGGAAAATAGGTTTGCTGCATCCCAGTAGCTGGCATCCTTTTCACCGCCCACTTGAACAACATGATGAGGAGTGACCGATTAGATCTGTGAAAAACGCGTGATGTATGGGTGCACCTGTATATTGATGCAAGGGGAAAAATCGGACTGGAGAAGTTTGCGATTATCGAGTCGCGACCATAGGGGGAATACTGGAAAGTATTAGTTTCAGGTTTTGCGTGATATTGCTAAGGGTGAAGAAATCACAACATACTATGGCGATAACTTCTTTGGTGAAAACAATCGTCGGTGTGAGTGCCCCACCTGTGAGCAGTATGTTTTCATAAAAAGTTCTTTATTGACCCAACTTGCACTGAAACACTGGGAATTTTGAAATTCCAAAATCCTATTGCAGTAGTCTAGTACTCTGTATAATGCTCTAAAATGAACTTTCTACGGAGCTGGGTGGGTTAACACAGAAAAATTTGAAACTGCTTAGTAAAATAAGATTTTAGAAAATCAGAGATTGTGCATTTGGGGTCCAGGCAGTTTTGGCAAACATTTTCAGGGTGATATTAGTTCACAGGCTTTTTGTTAGTTGGCCGACTGATAAGACTGCTTTCACGGAACTGTTAGATCGTTTTAGGTGGTTTCAAAAGAAAGATCAGAAGCAAGGATCTATTAGGATAGATTTAATTCTTTGGGTTTTGTGGTTTTCTACCTGTACAACTCCGACGTATGGTTGTAAATCTCGTTACTCGGGCACCTGTTGCCGTGCAGTTGAGGGCTTAGCTAGGCCATGTCATTTTTAGTATAATTCCAAGTCTTGTTGTTTGCAGATTCCAGAAGACAGAAGTGAGAATACTTTCAGGAATCACAAGGGCGCTTTTGCAAATTTAGATCACACTACCGCCATTTCAAAAGAAGACGAGAGGCAAATGGATGGAGATAAATCGAGCAACAGCTACACACTGCGGGTAACCAATTCAAGACGTTCTCGCAGTTCGGCATGGTCAGATGGTGTGCGTTCGTCAGTGGTACGGCGACGGCACTCAAAACGCATCAAGCAGCGTGCTCTTACTTGCATTATACCTCAAAGTACGATCATTTTAACGTGTAGTGCGTGTGTCGTACATTGGCGTTTTTTCATTGCATCATTTTTCAGTACATCATTTATTTTGCTGGGACAAGAAAAGGATTGGTTTTTTTTTTCCCCTGCTGTATTTTATCTCCTTTCAGGGCCGGAGGCTGTTGATACTGCTCACTGCTCAAGAAAACGGAGTAATTATGACAGTGGCCAAAGTTGTAAACGCCGTGAAATTTTATCAGACATTTCTTCTGTACCGATAACATCCCTACCGAGCGCATCTGTATCAAAGACACGTAAAGTCAAGAAAACATATACAGTGTCTGATACAGCTTTCAATCGTCTCGAATCCCAAATGAAGCCATCAAATGATGCCTTGGTCTCAACAGCGAATGCAAGCATTCATAAAATTTCAGCGCGTCAAGCGTCGAAAGAAAACAGATCTGCGAGAACTCGCCAGCGTAGCAGTAGGAATCATCATTCACCAGCATTCAGTTCACAAAAATATGAAAAGCCACAAGAATCTCATGAAGGCTTGCAAATTCTAGCTGACGTTGCAACGAAAATGAGTTTGATTGATAGGCCGCATGCACGATCTTCTTTGTCGACAGATTCCTGGAACTGCTCTTTTGATATTGGCGCTGATAATGATGGTGGTGAGGGCATTGATGAGCAGTTCTATAATGGTGATGGTGGCACTGAATTCTCACGAGCCTCAGATTCGTCGAGGAGGTGCAGTCTTTCTTCCAGATACAGTGCTGCAGAATTTGTTGAATACCAGGTTCGTGAAAACAGCACTTCCAAAGATGGGTCTGGTATCAGTGCCGAAGTTACTGGTAATGGTGGTGGTGATGATGACGATGATGAGGACGGTGATCGGAGCAGCAACATTTTTCTTTCTAGTAGTGCTGACGATGATTGCGATGAAGCTTGCGGTAATGATGATAGCGATGAAGTCTGCAGTAATGAGTTTCAAAACAGTTTTGGGAAATCATTCAGCAATCGCGCAGGAAGTTTAGTTTATAGCGAAGCTAAAAAACCAAGGGTCAAAGTCTATCCATATTATGAGATCGCATTTCACAGTTTATTGACGCCTCTTTCTAGGTAACACGCATATTCTGGTAACACGCTCTTTCTTGGGGCATCTTATGCATGATTCATGAGTTCGTTTCCAAAAGAGAATGAAGGAGAGGTTGTTGGGTTTAGACCTTTGTAGAAGAATCCCATGGGCGAACAGATTTTTGGATCGACTATGGACTGGACTGGTCAGGAAATTGGAAGAGTTGTAGCAGTGTTATCACGTTCTCGTGTAGCACAAAGTATATGTGTATGCGAGGTCTTCTCAGCACTCCTTTTCCCTAGTCGAGTAAATTGACAGTCCAAAGATGCAGTTTCTAGCACTGCTATTTTCCGAGACAAGAAATGGCATGAACAGGGAGTCTCTGGTCGGAGAAAAGTGATTACACGTTTTCATACAGGTTTCATACGACCAGTCAGTAAAGATAGCTCCATAATTGCTATTTGGACTATGAGTTGGACACTGACTGCGTCCTGTGCATGACCAGTTAATTTCTGCATTGTTTTAAATTTGACGTGATACTCTGCCTCTGTTACTTGCAGCAGTTCCTCGTTCCAATACTGTCAGAAATATCTAGCACATTTTTAAAAGCAGCTCCTTGACTGCAGTACTTTTCGTGTGCTTTAAATTTTTCCCTGACTTATCGCCTCCCTTTCTCCGTAATGGTTCGTGATTTTACGCTGTATATTGTAATTCTCCATTTCTTGAGACTCCGTACCGCTGTTTCATGTCCCGAATTCGTCACTTTATGTCTCGAGTTACTCGATCTGTGATGATTGTCTCTCCGTATCGGGATTCTGTTTCTTTGGCACCCTCATTCTTTTTAGCAGCACCATTCCCGCACGCTGTGAAACGCAGTTCTTTTTTTTAAACTATGTTTTGGCAATTGCTATCCAGTCAGCGTGCTCTGTTAACATAAAACTGCCACATAATGTGCTGTAAAGTCTCACAGTCTCCATTTCTTACAAAACAGTTAGCAGACTGGCTGTTACGGTGCGTTGGATAATTTAACTGGGGTGCGTCCAAACACTGTACGCCGCTGTACCGCAATCTAGTGGTTGTTTGAAATCCACGTCATCTAGCACATTTTCTCTTCAAGAAGCGCCAAACCATTACCACTAGTTTATAAGGCGCCACCATTTTTCCCGCCAGAAAGGATAGCTTGACGTGACAAGTGGGTCTCATTTCTGGATATGAGTGCAAACATGCTAATTGATGAGGACATTTGGTTAAATCGCTGGTTGTGAGAAGACTGTTCACTTGTTCGTTTCGCTGTAACGGACGTATTTCAATCCTTGTACGACATCGCGTCCAGTACGCTTTAAAAAGTTGTAGACTCTGAAAGCGATCGCGGTGCCGTAGATTTTTGAGAACGCAATCTTGGCACACAGTATGCTCCCCAGTTCTAGTCGATCGTGATTTATCCCAGTAACACTGCTAGCAAGAGCATCCATACTGATTGCCCGAGTGGTCTTGGTAGATGGAAAAATCACATGGAATAGGGCCTTGAGGTTGCATTCTATGCATAAAACTATTTGATAAAACCAAACATCGCGATATTTCTGGTAACGAACTGATTGAAAACAGTTTGATTTATTACATCCGTGAAATACAGATTTGTTAGCGACGTACCGCGACTCTTCAAATGTGGGCTGTTCCTAGGCTCATTCTGGCTTTTTGCTGCATCTTGTGGTATTCTCCTTGCAGCTTCTGTTTCAAACAAGTAAGGTATCTACTTTTTTCGGGGAGGAGGGGAAGGGGTTGTATAGAATAGCATGCTGCATCTTCGAGAGATTTTGTTTATTGGAACCTTCAAAAAATAAGACATCAACGTGCTTTCCCAACACATCCGCTCACTGTCCAGAGTTGGGATACGCCACTCACCGGTCCTGGAAGTTTGTTAGCTGGGCTTATGCAAATCTAGAACTTGGAAGAGATTCAGCTGGAAATGATAACAAATGAAGCATAAAAATATCGGATTATGTACACAGTAATAGCGGGTTAAATTCAAAATACACTAGGATTTGATAAAACTACTTGATTCCTAAAAAAGATAGGTCCCGATCCCATCTGGGAACAAAGTGGGCTCCACCTATCTGAATTTGCCAATAAGTGTGTTATCTCAAAGAGACTGTAATAAACTGCCTGGTAAATACGAAATCACAGACTGTTTCACCAAAACTATGCAAAAGTTGGATGAATATTTGCAAATAAGCAGAAAATTTACGAGAGACCGAAGGGAATGCAGTGAGCAAAATTTGGCAGCTTATTTAGCAACTGGTTCTCCTCTTATGAGGGGAAAGGGGCAACGTTATAATTTGCCAAGTAAAAAGCGAAAAACAAAAGGAATGGAAGGACGCCGGTCTCAGTCGAGAAAAATACACGAAATCAGAAATCAGCGGGACAGAGTTGCGCTGAAATGCACAAGACTGAATCTAGAAGTGCTAACATACTGGATGTACCTCTGTTAGAGCAAATGAAACAAATGAGGAGAGGCAGAGGGGCATCTAGGTATAAGCATCAGTGATAAAACGACACTAAACTGAAACTACGCTCTACTGTTGTCGAAACCGTATTCGTCATTTATAAAACAGCATCATATCATGGGATCTTTCATTGTCATAATGATAAAGAGATAAAAATATAATAGAGTAGCGATGAGATCAGCAAACCGAAGGATACTGAGGATAATTTTCCAGACAGTGCTCGAGTATTTTCTGGCGTCGACCGAGCTTCCCATCCACTGCTTAGGAAATCTTCCACGTTTGACCATGTACCGTTATGTCGGTACTGCGGCTCGATACCGAAGATATTCAAAATCACCTGACAGTGTGCATGCTTTTTCACCAAAAAAAAGTCATTTAATTGCAGCTGCAGCGGGAGCTCCTGCAACAATCTTCGCCCCTTCCTCTGCCCCTTCCCTTCCTCTCCTTCTTCAGCATACAGCTGGTACAAAAATTTGAGAATGCCCAACATAAATTAATTTGAAGGTAAATGCTCGCTGAACAAAATGTTTTTCCTCGCATGAAAAATAAACAGAAAAAAGAGGCAAAACTTCTCACGAAGTCTTAAAAATGCAAATATAATACTCAAGGATTTCTTTTACACGATCCAAGAAAAATCAAGTTAAATGCGGAAAAATGAGAAATTGGAATCCGTGCTGGTTTTTGTATTTGTAGGTTTAGTCGGAAGCAGAGTTTGTAAACAGAACCATTTATTTGTTTTCTAAGCCTAAGGTAGAAGGCGGTTAACTGAAGGGCAAAATGTAAGCGCAGTGATATCTAACCTGGTAAATGTCAACCATACTGATAGATGGCGCCTGATATCCAATTTTGAAAGCTGAAATAAATTATCCTTTAGGGAAACGACCTGAAGTAACGGAAGTCGTATGTGAAGGAGATTTTTCAGGTGAAAAATTTGAACACTGGCGGATGTTAATGCGCTCGCTTTGCAGCATCTTTATGCGTTTTTGCTGGCTGTAGCAGCGCTATAGCCAGCAAAAACGCATATTTTCGAGAGGCTGTCTATGTGTGTCTGTTCGGAAAGTGAGTGCATTTTGTCACCCATTTTCATCTCAGCAACCAGGAAAGCTGGGAGGCTGAAACTTTGATATATGTTCTTACCCCGTGTGTCATCCCCCCGTTTTAAGATCTTTCCCCATACGCACCTAGACCCCGCGTACGGAACTCCCAAAGAAATATGTTGGCGGGAAACGATTTTGCGAAACAGGCAACATAGAAAGCTGAAACTTTGCAGGGATGTTCTCTATGCACATGCGAGATGAAAATTTTAAACTCAACTCTCTAGTTCCCAAACCACAGCCTCAAGCAGCTCCTTAACCTAAAAATCGTTAGCAACTCGGACCTGAACCGCGACTGTATATGCAAATGAACATGGATTTTTTGAAAAACGACCGTTCGAGCAATACTTTCAATTTCTA